AATTCAATCAAAATAAACAAAAAGTAAATTATAGCCAGATGCCCAATATTTATATTTCCAAAACACTGCAGCAGAAATTTAATTATCCAATTATTAAGTGGAACAAATTTGTTCAGACCATTAGCCTATGTCATAAAATAGAAGCCCAAGCATGTTGCTTTTATGATAAAAATTTCTACCAATCCATATAATTTCTTAAATTCTGAATGAAATGGAAACAGTATGGATTAACATCATTCAAATCTCAAATGAAAAAACAATTCAGCTTGAATTATTTTTTATACCAATTTAATGTTTGTGAGCGCTAAATTAGTCTGACTGTGAAATAGTCCATTAGGGTTTCTTCTCATAAGCTTATTGTCATGAAGCCTGTGGTATGTAGCTTCTAAATGAAGTCTTAGGGTATTGTGTCCTATTACTGATTCCTTCTTTGGTTAATAGTCATTAAATATGGTCTATTAGTGCAGTTGACTTCATTCTTGACTCACAATCTAAAATCCCTCAATCCCCAATTGTGAGTCAATCAAATCAGGGATTTGACTCCCCAGTGGGACATCAATGGTTGGGCATGTTTCCTTTCATTTACTACAGTAGGTGAATACTATACAACCTAGCAATAAATAAGTACAGTATCTGTGTGTTGGACAATTGTTGTGGGGTTGTATCCTGGGGGAGTCAGTAGTTTGACCTTGGAGGGGGGGGGGGGGTAACCTCAATAAAGTATATATATATAACTTACACACAGGCTTCCTGTCTCTAAAACACTAATTATAATTACAGTATTATTATGCAATGCCACTTTAACATTTCCTACTTCTTTGCAAATTTGCCATTTATCTTTTCTTGATTCCAATTTTTTGTTGTACAGACTGCCTAACATACAAGAACCTTTATTCTGACCAAACAGTTTTATTGTACATTGTACAAGTTAAAGAGTTGAGTGTAATGCTCAGGAGCTCAGGAGCTCCTTGGGGGGTAAGGAGTGGTGTGGTCTGGCACCACAGTGCCAAACAAAACTTCAGTCTTATGTGCCTTTCTTGGCACTCAAGTGAGGTGAGGTGCCAGGTTCAACCCAAAAGGGAGACAATGAAAGTGGCAACTCTGATGCCCCAAAGCAAAACCGAGCCAGTCCCTGAACCTCGGATGAATCGGGATGTGCCAATATGCATACTTGAGGTCCAGGGACACCAGCCAAGTGCCCAGCTCCAACAGAAGCCAGACCTGGGACAGAGTGGTCATCCGGAAGCAGGGGCAAAAAACCCAGGGGTTCAGATGGGACAAGTCCAGAATGAACCGCAGGTCTGCACAGTCCCGTTTTGGAACTGGAAACAGGTGGAAAACTCACCTGCGGGACGTCGTCATTTCGACTGCGCCCAAGTGCAGCCACTCCAAAATGACCTGACAGAGAGCAGGAGAAGAGGCCTGCCCTGCCAGCTCCAAACCCCCCCGAAGGAGGAGGAGCCACCCAACACCACCGAAGGCCATGAGAAATGACCCGAAAAGCCCATGAATCGTGAGATTAGGCATGAGTGAACAGAACAAGCCTCTCTCCAACTGCAAAAGGGTCGATGCCCCTTACAGGAACATGACCTGCGCACAGAGCGAGCATCGCGCCGACCAGGCGCAGCTGGGACCGAAGGTGGCACCGGCTCTGAAACTGGCACCTGTGGCCACCTCGATGAGCGGAACTGCGAGCCCTGGCACGACCCCTCCAGGAGGAACCCACCCAAGACCCCCAGTGAACCAACAAGTCAGACACTGAGCGGCAGCTGGAGGAAGCAGCTTGCATATATTGTTCGACCGCAGAAGCTGCAAACAACAAAGGACAAAAGGGTGAAAACAATCTAAGAGCTAGAGCCCAAGCAGATTCCAAGGAGGAAGCAAGCACCATCTGTTGACACGCGAGGCGTGCAGCGAAAAACTGCAACAGCACATCCTGCAGAACTGGCACAAACGACTTCAAAAACGCAGATGATGCACGAGCAGCTGAGACCAAGGCACCAGACCCAGGCACAGCCCCAAGCACCTCCACATCCTCTGCAAGCCAATCAGAAGACAGCTCAAGGAGGGGAAAGGAAATGCAGGACTGAAGCCAACGAGCCCCGCACGCGAAAGTCCTCAGCCGCAAGTGCAGCCAATAGGGAAGGAACCTGCACATGAAGCTGAATCGCACTAATATCCCACAGAAGAGCCGGAGCAAAAAGGCACTCATTAACCCGCAGGGAGGAGCCAAACCCAAATCGAACTCGTACACAGAGGGAGGAAAGGAAAACCCCACTCCTTGTAACAGCAAGCCCCGCTCGGAGGGTCGGAAAACCCAGGCAGGGTCCAATGGGGCCCAAGGCCCCCAAGTCAGCTCCTCCCCAACCCCGGGAACCTCCACATCAGGCCCCGGGGGCGAGTCGTCCTCCAAAGCCCCTGCCTCACAAGAAAAAGCCAGAATAGCAGGAAGAGGATGGGCCCACTGGTCATACCCAGGAGCTATGGCTGGAGGAACGGACTCGAATGACTTCATAACCACACCAGAAGGAGCAACCCCTGAAATCGCCTGAGTCTCAGAAACCTATAAACCTTGCCCCGACCCTGACGCAAGGGGGGGGGGGGGAGGGAAGGGGGGAATGGGAACCAAATGAACCACAGCAGGGAAAGAACAAGGGGTTGTGGACAGAATCAAGGCCGAAGCGACCAACACCCCCAAGTCCGGGTCCCTATAAACAAAACGGGGCAGCCTCGGGGCATAAATTCAGGTAAGGTACATACTGTACATACAAGAGATTTTTACAAAAATTGGTAGGTTTATTGATAGAGCTAGCACATACAAGCCCTAAAGCCACTATTGCGCAAAGCGTTTCGCGCAGGAAAAACATTAAAGACTAATTGAGTTTAAAGTATAAAATATGTTGAGAACAAATAAAAATAAAAATAAGAAAGGGGGGAACATGGCTGAAAAAGCAGCACAAATATAATTAGGTCGACAAACAGCAGTGTTTAAAAAAAAACCCAGACATGGGTTGACAATACAGGGGTAAGGTAGTTTACAGGGAATTTATTAGGTAGTGCTTCGTTTTTATCTTAAATTGGTTGAGAGAGGTACAGTCTTTAACATGATTGGGAAGGTCATTCCACATTCTGGGTCCCTTGATTTGTAGAGCATTTCTAGTTTGATTAAGTCGTACTCTTGGAATTGCATCCGGGGAAGTAACCCGGTTTCCCCTGCATCCGGGGAAATAACCAACCTAGCGCACTGCAACAACCTAAACCTATCCTGCAATGCGCGAGCCATCTGCACCCGAATAATATCATCATCAGATTGGGTGAACCGAATCACAAACAAGCAACAAAGCTCACAGGACTCTGGGTCGAATGTGTTACCGACCCAACAGGCAGCATGACGGAGGCAAAAACAATGAGCGTCGCCCCGAGACAAGGGGACAGAGCAACCTTCAAATACACAAACAGCGAGAGGGGCAACCTGTCCTCTTAAAAAGAATGTCGCTTTTGGCCGTTTGCCCGTATGGTCGAATATGGACGTAATTTGAAAATGAAAAAAAATTAAAATAAATTTGGGATTTTTTCTTTCAACAACAGTAAGTTAAGGGTCCTCTGATAGGTTAGGTGGGCAGGAAATTCTCATAAAGTTTCAAAACAGTATGAAAAACGTTAATGGAAAGTTGCCTCTTCTAAGCTTGCCGAGTAAGTCGGACGACTCAAACAGAAAACGGAACAGTACGTCACTTTTGTGAGTCGATTTCAATTCAAATTACGTCCAAATTTGGTAATAGCGCGCATACGAGCGAAAAGTGACGTTATTTTTAAGAGGACGGGTTGAGAGGGGACCCAGGGGTCTCATCCATTCAACCCGAGTGTCCCTGCAGGGTTTCCCAAGGCCTCCGGCCTGGACTGGGTCTGCTAAGGGTAATCCCAGGCAGGGTACTGCTAACTGGCACCCAAGCTACCAATCAACACTACTAATGCGGAATCAACGGGACATGTCCACTCACGAGGGCAAAGCAGGGGGTACCACCAAACACAAACAACCCTAGTATAAAGGGGGAGGAACACCAAGGCAGATCACCCCACCAGGCAAAAACAAAAAAGAAAAGAAAAACCTCACAAGAGGACAGCGTACCCAGAGGAAACAGAGCCGGCCGCTGTTATAGGTGAAAACTAGCTACGCAGTACCCCGCGCCCCTACCAGTGCAAAAACTACCACTTACCCCAAGGCAAACCAGGGAGGAAACCCCCCAAAACACTCAGGGCAGTCAATCGCCAAACAGCAAAACACCAACAAAGGTAGACCCAAGGTGACTTGTGAAAGGGAACCCCAAGCCCCTAGGGTGGTACTGTACTTACAGGGCACTCAGGAAAGGTGACCCTAAGCACATGCAGCCAGAGTACCTGTGAATATTACTCCCAGCTCACACACCACCATAAGAGCGGTACTGAAACAGAAGACAGCACAACGAGAGTCCGGAGCTGAAGCCATAATGACCAAGCCGTATCCCATCAGCTGAAGAACTGAAGGGTGGATCGCCGGCGCGGGGGTCTTGGGTTCCCCCTTTCCCCTCCCAGGGAGGGGGGGAAGCTGCGCTTGACATGCGGCGCAGCTCGTGTGACATCATACTTGTTTGCTCGTTTTTAATTGGGGAGTTCAGTCCACTCGTTCGTCTATTTTCGTCATTTTTAACCAGAATAGGGGTTTGTTTTGGGCGCTTACCTTTCTGGGTGCCTGTCCCTGTCGATGGCAGATATAGAATGCTCTAAAATCACATGTGCATTTCTATAGGCCATTGCTCCTCGTGCCTCTCTGAGGGGGGCCAGGTTCTGGCTCGTGGTCCCCGGCAGGCCTAGAACTCCACCCACATTGACTGCTGTCAAAGTTAGGGATATCCATATCAGCCTGGATAGCTCCAGGGAGCCATAGGGGCTCCTCCCCAGAAATGGATCAAGAAAATCTCACATTTTTATTATTCCTATTTAAAGGCTATAATGATTGAATATTAAGAGTTTTCAGTTTTATATTTAAAACTGTTATATGTAAACCAATTCAAGCTTACACAAAAATTCATCCATGTAGTAATTGGGTCTTGACAAAAGAGATTGACTCCTTGATACAATAAATGGAGCATCTGAGGTAAATTTAACAAGGGTACATCTTCCCCAATATAATATAGAATTTGCTGGTCTGATTTTTCCTCCCTGTACAACATTATTGAGAGCATGGCTAAATTAATTTTTGCCATGTTAAACTTGTTATTCAACTGTTTTTAAAGTATTTGCCAGAGTAACTATTACTATACTGTATCAAGGATAACCTTGTTACCTCTGCTTCGATCAAAGATGGCACCCAAATTTTTTATGCATCTGAAAAATGTGTTATCACATGTGCTCAAACTTTCCAATAGCTTCAAACTTATTCACTCTCATCTCTTGCATCAAGACTGACTGCCAAAATGCTTTATCTATAGCAAATGAAGTCCCCTTTAATTCCATATACAGTTCAGCATATATTTATGTTTAGAAGGAATACAACACAATGTACAGTACTGTAAGCAATAAATAAATAATAGATACAGTACATGAAAACTTGCAAATTTAGTCATCAAAATTGAAATATACTTATTTGACAGTAACAGTCATAGATTTCAGACTCAATGAATCTCATTATTTAAAATTCATGTTTTCCTCAGTATAATGTCATAAATACTGTACTGTACATGCAATATTGATCAAAGTTGCTGCAGGATGTCCCTGTTATATGAACATTCATTCTTCTGAACGGCCTCTTAAGAGCTTTTGCATGCATGAAATCACTAACCGAACCTGGCAGAGCATCCCCAGCATTACAAGCAGCACATTAAAACATCCGTGTGGCAGCTATACAGTGGCACTGTTGTACAAAAACATCTACACGGCCCACTAGGGCCATGTAGGGGTGTGGTCACTGCCCACACCCTACAATTTGACCACACCGGAGGATGTGAGCAAATTGTACACAAGACTCTTCGATAGATCATTTTCCAATTGCTAAAAGTGTATACAATATATAATTAAGTTAGGATATACAGTATTAGCTTAGATTACACTGTGCCAGGCTCAGTTGGGTTAGATTAGATTTGTTTGAGTAAGATTAGGCTTTGTTGGGTTAGGTTAGATAGATTTTAAAACACGTTGGTGAACTGTAGTGTGTATAATGTGACTTGCATCTGTGAAGACCCCACGCTGCCTCATTCAGCAATTTTCTCATACCCAGGACTAGACACGTTGTGCATTCTTTAGACTTTATTGAGGAAAATACCATTAACAATGGCTGATAGAAAGAGGAAGTGTGTTGGTAATGCACTAGTGTTAAGGAAAGGGCGACCCATAACTTAAAACAAAGCTACTAAGACATTATCAGAGACAAAGCTAGACATTATCAAGTGCTCTGAAAGGGGTGAAAAACCAACACAGATTGCAAACACTTACAACGTGAACCACTCAACAATTGAGACCATCCTAAATGACAAAACACAAATCTTAGAGCATGTGACGGGTTCTACACCACTGAAATTAAGAACACTGGGAATCACATTTAATTTGTGATATGAAAAAGATTTTAACATTGTGGATTGAGGACTAGAATCGTTGTCAAAATCAAATTAGTCTGATGCTAATAAAGGAGAGAGCAATAAATATTTTTGATGATTTAAAGAAGAAATTAGATGCAACTATGAGTAATGAAACAGTTGTGGGCAGGCGTGGGTGGTTTAATAGATATTAGAGTAGGGCAAATTTACACAACATAATTGCGAGTGGTAAGACTGTTAGTGCAGATGAGAAGGAAGCAGCTAAATTTATTCCAAAATTGGCCAAAATTATTAAAGATGGAAACTATAGTGCTCCTCATGTGTTTAATAGTGATGAAGCTGGCCTGTTTTGGAAAAAAAAAAAGTGCCTGAGAGAGCATTTCCAAGAAAGAAAAACAATGCCTAGCTTCAAAGCAGAAAAACACCACTTACCCTTGATGCTTGTAGGAAATCCTTCTTATAAAGGATTTTCTTTAGCCTTCTTTATGATTGTAAACTTCTTGTGTACTGTTCAGAAAATCTCAGAGCTTTAAAGAATGTGCAAAAATTGTCTCTGCCAGTGGTGTGGAAAAGTTCTGCCAAGGCTTGGGTAACATGAGTCCTTTTTAGGGACTGGTATTTAGAACACTTTGCGCTAGAAATTAAATTGTATTGTGCTAAAAAGAAGATTGATTTTAAAGTTTTACTCATGTTAGAATTAAAATGACAATTGAATTAAAATGTCAAAGTTGTATTTTTGCCATCTTAGAACCTCATTGCTGCAGCCTATAGACTAGTGAGACCTCAAGTCAACCACAGCAAAATGATTCACAGCCAAGAAAATAGCAGAGGCATTTATGTTGATAGATGATAAATTGGCAATGTTTGAAGAGCAAGATGATGATGCTGAGAGAGATCTAAACATCTTAATAATTATATTATTGGCCTTGCACCCTACAAGCAAATTTACATGGAAAAGAAAAAGATAGTTATGCAAAGTATTCTGAGAAAATACAGTGTTTCCCAAAAAAAGTCTCCAGCCTAACCTCTCAAAAAGTCACTATCAATTTCCTCAACAATCTTCAAGAAAAAGTCTGACTCAAAATCTTTGAGTTCTATAGCAGTTAGTGAAACTTGATGATGACCCACAAGTGTTTGCCTCCCACCCATCATCTCCCATATAAAATGCAGCCAATGACACTGAAAATGACCAGCCACCTTCCATCGCCAATGCATCGCCACCCCTCTGCTGCTGATATATATTGCCACCCACTACCCATGCATCACCACCTCCTGCCACCCACTACCCATGAATTACTGCCTCCTGCCACCCACTACCCATGCATCACCACCTCCTGCCACCCACTACCCATGCATCACCACCTCCTGCCACCCACTACCCATGCATCACCACCACCTGCCACCCACTACCCATGCATCACCACCTCCTGCCACCCACTACCCATGCATCACTGCCTCCTGCCACCCACTACCCATGCATCACTGCCTCCTGCCACCCACTACCCATGCATCACTGCCTCCTGCCACCCACTACCCATGCATCACCACCTCCTGCCACCCATTATCCATGCATCACTGCCTCCTGCCACCTCCTCCAGCAACTAGATCTCTTCACTCCTCAAAAACAGCCAACTTTGACAAGCAGGATAGCATGATTATTCAAGGTAAATAATATGTTGTGTTTTTTATATTATATGTCCCAAAAGTATTGGTTTAGTGATGATATTTGGTGATCTGGAAATGCATTCCACATTTACAGCATTGTGTGTATGAGAAATCTCATTCCGTGTACCAAACAAATTCTATACAAACTCATTTTTTGGAATGTAACCCGTTCATTGTTGGGGGGATTATTATTGCTTCTAAATAACTTTAATATTACAAATTCTGCTGCAGTCAAAATAAACTAACTTTCCTAATTAAGGTATCTACATTATTAGTAAGACATTATGTTCTCAAAGAATTCAGATCTACATAGAGATAACCTGACTGGGTAATTACCAGGCCTTATTTCAGTAATGATACATATAAAAAAAATAGTAAATAATAATGATGTGAATGTCCATGAGTATTTTCCTAGCTCAGGAGTCCATGTAAATGAAGATGAAGTCTGTGACCACTTGTATGTACAATACTGAAACTTTAGTGAAAATTTACATTATAAATAGTCTTGATATCAGTTACATTGCACTAAAAGCTTAAAAAATTATACATTAGAACAAATTTGTAACAAATAAGTTATGTTTTTAACAACATATCTAATATTAAAGGTACATGTAAATCTAATATTAAAGGTACATGTAAAAAAATACTAAATATTTTAAATGTTTTGGTCACTGAAAAATGATACAGTAAAATTAAATTACAATACTATACTGTACTAAAAAGTGTACAGTCTTCTTGCATATCATTACCATTTCTGAGTCAAACATAGTGTGGTTAATATAATGTAACATTTCCATTCTCATTACAGAAACAATTACAGCATATTGTCCATGCTGCAGTGAACTTAAACCCAAGCTTCCAGCAAATTAGTTAATGCCACTCGGAGCCAAAGCCATAGGCAGAGTCCGAGTCAGAATCAGCATTTGCGGGTGGCATCAGTGATGCCTGAGGAGTGGTGTCATATGTAGGAGCGAGTGCAGAATATGCTGAGACTGGTCGAGCTTGTACAAAATCTCGGTCTTTCTTGGTTTTTCTCTTTTTAATGGGGCCAAACTTAGGGGGCGGCATGGATTTTGATTCTTTTTCCTGAAAAAAAAAAAAAAATATTTAGGCATATGCCAATTATTGTTTTTTTTTAATTTATAGAGTAAAAACCCACTCAAATAGAATTAATTTGTTTCAGACCCTGTCTGTTACATCAAATATTATAATGCATCCAATTTTTATTTATGCTAAATTACAAATATCCTTTTAAGACCTTATGTATATCTTCCATGTTAATACCCCTTATCCACTTGATATTGTAATATATATACTGTACTCGTATCCCAGTATGGTTTTTCATATACAGTATAGTGAACAAATGATTAAACATTCAATATACACTATACTATTTTTGAAAGTTATACCTTAGAGCAGATAGCTCATCTGTGCATGTGCGACAAAAGACATTTTTGAAGGGAAAAACTAGAGAATTGATTAAGACATTCCCATACTTCGTGAATAAACTTGGAAAAAATACATATAGTGATTGGAAACATCATGAGAATATTAGTGTTAAATTTTGAAATATAGATGAAAGTTCTATGAATTAGGATAAGGGTACATTCCGAACACAATTTTAAATCTTTGACGAGTATGTATTGGAATGAGAGTTCTATAATGGAGGCAATAGGGTACTATTGTTGACAGAGCCAGCAGGTTGGGCTGAGGATGGACATGGATTTGAAGGCTTCACTACAAAGTCAGTACTTTGTTCTCAACTGTGTGTGGTGCTCACATTAGGAGGATAACCATATATTGCAGATTATAAATTGCATGTTCTAGCACGGCAAACTGGTTGTTGATGTTCACCACGTGTGTATAGAATGCTAAATTCCTTTGAGTTGCTATAATTTATATATGTTCCTAGATTACAAGTATACCAAGAGTGAAAGCTTCATCGAAGGCATACATTTATGCTATTTTCTTGTGTACAGTATAACATATAACATTTGTGGAGGGAAGGTATTTGTGCCTTTTCAATCTATCTGAAAACATTAGTAATTGTACTCTTTCCTCTGTCTGAAATAACCAGTGATTTTTGTGTTGTTAATTTTCATATGCATAATAATTATTGTTATTTGTAGTTCTATATAACTTGAGGTAGTGATTTATATATTGATCTCAGCCTGTAATTCTAGGAATTCAGTTTAACCCTTAGACCGTGCATATTGGGGGCCCTGGTAGCGTAAATATTCAAATTATGTAAAAATAACTTAAAAATGTTAAACAAATATCCAACTTATTGGCTTCAGTGTCGTGAAACTTTCATCAAAATATTTTCAGAAATTGATTTTAGATGAATTTTTAAAAAATAAGAACGTTTTGTTCATAAGGAGAACAGCTCCTAATAACTGGAACTGAAGGATTATGCAGTAATAAAGGGATGCAAGGATTTGTCCGACATTCAAAGAAGAAGAATAGTAATAAGAAGTGTCCACAAAGTGGATATGCAGTTGTGCCTTTATATCATTGATGAGTAATACATAATAACACAAATAATAATGAATAACTATGTTAATATGCCCTATTTTGTTATATATCATATAAATACATTGTCCAATGTTAATATATGTTACTTTTATCAATGTCCCAAAAATAGTTTTTTCAGGAGAATTTTTTTTTTTTTAAGATTTTAGTTTTTTTCCACTTTGTTTATTATCTGATTTTGTTGTAACCTTTACATCCTGGAGAATGCATATGTTTCCCTATGTGAAGATAGAATGAAACAAATAAACAAATCAACCAACAACAAATGAATCAACAAATAAATTAGTCACAATTTGCAAATCTTGGGACTTAGAATTTTTTTTGGATGATTTTTTCTCTGATTTCAAACTCTATTTTCTTTGTCACTTTAGATTATTTTGATGATTAGGGACCATATTAGGGCTTTTCACTTATAAAGTACACCCTAAATATATCCCTAAAATCATTATAATTATTACAATTACAGTATCCCTATATTTTTTTTTTTTTACTTCATTTCAACACATATTGACCTACAACTTTCACATATTCGAGTACGAATGCCATACGATGTTTATTAAAATATACAATTAAATTAACGAATTAAAACTACCTTTATTCATTGTTGATAACTTCAACTTCAATTATCTCTGAAACTAGAGTTTCAACTTTGAGTGGCTTCTAAAATTCCAGTTTTTGACCGATTCTCACTATTTTGACATATTGTGTGCTCAGCTGTCTGTTCTACTATCCCTTAAGAATGGATTTTTCCTAAACTTTATACATTTGGAGTTATAATTTTTTTTGTCTAAATTTGCCACATATTTCAAATGCTCTATTGATGATTTTTTTACAGTAAACTGTACTGAAAATCTATATTCTATTACACACAGAAATCACAATAGCGTGATGCATCAATGAACAAAATACATTACGCTATTGTGATTTCTGTGTGTAATGAAGTAAGGGCGAAGAGGTAGAACGGCCTATTGACATGGCTCGAGTGCATGGGGGAGTTGCGTAAAACCCTGGTTTGTGTCTCGGAGAGGCTGCAGGATCCAAGTAAGTCCAGTAGAACTTCTGGTTTCATCTCTTTTACCATGTTGTAGCTCAGTCATTTAAGGCAGCGTCTGGGAAGATCTCGGACGTAGGTTCGAATCCTCGTCAAGGCCCTTGTGGATTTGTTCACCTATATTCTATTTTGATGAAAATGAAGATCATATGCTATTCTGAGAGAATAATAACATTAAATGAACAATTGGTGATAGTTCATATTTTTTATTCTGAATTGAAAATCTGAAGTTTTCAATATTCAATTTTAAAATGAATTTTGATTCTCTTGTTTTTCAAGTTATGCTGTGACTATTTAGACAAAGTTGGAGCATTTGCCTAGTTGATCATGCAAAATAAAACCAACGTTGAATGTAATCAAACGCCATTTTCTGGGCGAGTCCCAGAGGCTCCCTGGAGCTATCCATGGCTGCTATGGATACCCTAACTATATTGCATCAGTCGATGTGGGTGGAGTTCTAGGCCCACCGGGGATCCACGAGCCAGAACCTGGCTCCACACAGAGGCACAAGGAGCAATGGCCCATAGAATTGCACATGTGATTTGGAGCATTCTATATCTGCCATCGACTGGGACAGGCACTCAGAAAGTTAAGCACCAAAAAACAAACCCCTATTCTGGTTAACAAGGAAAATCATCAAACGAGTGGACAGAACTCCCCAAAAGAAAAACGAGCAAACGAGCATGATGTCACACGAGCCACGCCGCATGTCTGAGCAGCTCCCCCCCCTCCCTAGGAGGGGGAAGGGGCAGCCCCAGATCCTCGTGCTGGAGATCCTCACCCTAGTTCTGAGGCTGGGTATCAAAAACCGCGAAAAACCGCCGACCAGAGGGAGGGAGGGAGAGTTGCAGAGGAGCCTCCGGGATTCACCCAGAAAATGGTGTTTCATTACATTCAATGCTGGATTTCTGGGGGGGTGGGGGGAGCTCCTACGGCTTCCTGGAGCTACTTCACCAAAGACAAAACAAGAAGGGGACCTACCCGGGAGGCGGTTGGTGCTCCACTCCTCAACTTGAAGTCAAGACAACAGGCTGCAGCCCCAGACCTAAAGCGACACAGGCCTGACTGGGCCCAGGAACGTTCACATGGTAGCGTGCAGCCAGGACCCTGTTCGACCGCCAAAAGCACTATGCCCGAATGTCAGCCCAAGACATATTGCCAAAGACGGCAGCTAGAGCAGCAAACTTGCGAACATCATGGGCATGTTGATAGACCGCAGGCTGGCTAGACTTAATTACCCCTGCGGACGATCTGAGAGACCCGAACCCGCGAACAGGGAAGAAGGGAAACCGGATCAACCCAGAGTGTGTCCCCGGACACAGAAGCCGTGGTGTGCAGATAACAGCGGAGGGCCGCAACTGGACACAACACATGATGAACCCCTAGCCTGACCAACCAAGCAACAACAACCCAAGGACTCCCTCTGGAAAGCAGCAGACTCATTCTTCACCAGAAAAGAGGGAGACGGCTGCAGACGAACATACCGACCACGACCAAAACAGCAAAAACCTCTGTGCCGGAGAAGAGCATGAAGCTCCGCCACCCGACCCCCAGAGGCTAATGCCAACAGAAAAAGAGCCTTAGAAAAACAATCCTGAACCGAAGAGGGCCACAACAAACCGAGGAGAAGATAGATAGGAGAGCACTATGTCCAAAGACCAGGATGGCTCAGGCGGCGCATGAGCAGGCCGGAGGTGAAACAATGCACGAAACTGTGTAGAAGTAACATCGATACTGAAAGCAAGCTGCAGCGACTTCGCCAGTGCCGCATGATTCGAAGCAACAGTATTAGACATAAGATGACAGTCCTGGAACAACCAAAGACACCACCACCCTAACCGAAAGCGAAGAGCAACTACGAGGAGTCAAAAAGAAATGGAAGGACTGCCAGGAAACTTCGTACTACCGTCGAGAAGAAGCCCGGAGGCTTTTTCTCGACGGAAGCCCAAGATGCGGAAAGCCAAAAACCTCCGGAAAGACGGAACCGAACCCAGGGAAGAGCTGAACCCAAGTTCAAATCGTACGCAGAGGGAAGAAAAGAAAACCCCACTCTTTGCAGCAGTAAGCCCTGCTCATGACGGAAAATCCAGGCGGGGTCCAATGGAGCCCAAGGCCCCCAAGTCAACTCCTCCCCATCCCCGGGAACCTCTACTTCAGGCTCTGGGGCCGAATCGTCCTCCAAAGCCCCGGGATCAAGAAAAACCCGAGGCAGCTGAAAGAGCCAGAAGAGAAGGGGGCCATTGGTCAGACCCCGGAGCAATGGCAGGAGGAACAGGCTCGAATGTCTCCATAGCTACCCCGGATGGGTCAACTCCCGAAACTGCCCGAGTCTCGGAAACCTCTAAACCCCGTCCCGACCCCGAAACCCTCAGACGCTTAGGGGCCGGAAGCAGGGGGGGTGGGGGGAGACCAAATGAACCACCGCAGGGGAAGAACGAGGGGGCGTGGACGGAATCAAGGACGAAGCGACCAACACCCCCAAGTCCAAGTCCCTATAGGCAAA